AATTTTCGATTTCTCCATTTTTCAACTTCTCCTTTTCGCGATTAATCAGTTTTTAAGTTTTTTGATTGTTAAGGTTTTTGATTTTTGATTTTTTTAAATTTTCAGTCTTTCAATTTTGACTTGACGATTTTTCGACTTCGATTTCTGGATTATTAGTTTTTCGATTTAACGATTTTTCGATATTTCAGTTTTAGGATTGTTCAATATTGTGACTCTTCGGATGTCGAAATTTCGTTTCGATTTTTCGATTTTTACTTTTTCAGTTTTTCGATTTTGTAAATTTCGGATTTTTCCATGCTTCAATTTTTCGATTTTAAATACATATATCGAATTCTCGATTTTTCGAATTTTCTACTTTTCAGTTTTTGTCATTTCTAAATGTTTTTCGATTTCTTGATTAATCGAATTTTCGATTTTTCAATTTCTCGATTTTTCAGTTTTACAATTTTTCAATTTTTTAATTTGATTTTTGATTTTTTAATCTTTTAAATTTGCAGTTTTTAATTTTGTGACTTTTCGATTTTTCAGTTTTTCGATTTATCAATTTTTCTATTTTTCCGTTTTGGGATTTTTAAATATTTCGACTCTTCAGTTTTCGATATTTCGGTTCGATTTTTCGGTTTTTACTTTTCGAATTTTTTAAATTTTTGTAAAGTTAGATTTTCGATGTTTCAATTTTTCAATTTTTTGATGTTTCGATTTCTGGATTTTCAATTTTTTGATATTTTACTTTTTGATTTTTAAATTTGAGATTTTTAGATTTCTCAATTTTTCAATCCTTTGATTTTTCAATTTTGCAGTTTTTGTCATTTTTTAAGTTTTACAATTTCTTTTTTAATCCATTGTTCGATTATTCAGTTTTTTGATTTCTCGATTTTTCAGTTTTGTATTTTTGTTTTTTTTTAGTTTTACCATTGCTCGTTTTTTTTTTTGGTTTTTCAATTCCTGAATTAGATTTTTCAATTTTTTGTTTTTTCAATACTTCGAATTTTCTGTTTTTCAATTTTTGACTCCATTTCTCGATTTTTCAGTTTTTCAATTCCTCAGTTTTTAAGTTTTTTGATTGTTCTGCTTTTCGATTTTTCATTTTTTTAAATTTTCAGTTTTTCAATTTTGACTTGACGATTTTTCGACTTCGATTTCTGAATTTTCAATTTTTTGTTATTTTATTTTTTATTTTTAAATTTTAGATTTTAAGATTTCTCAATTTTTTCAATTCTTCGATTTTTCTATTTTTCAATTTTTGTCATTTCAAAATTTTCATTTTTTCAATTCTTTAATTTTTTCTAATTTTCGATTATTCAGTTTTTCGATTTCTCGATTTTTCGACTTCTGTATTTTTCGGTTTTTTGATTTTTCCAATTTCTCGATTTTTTAGTTTTCATTTCTTGAATTTTTCAATTTTTAAATTTTTGGGTTTTTGATTTCTCTTTTTTTTAGGTTTTTCAATTTTCTGTTTTTCAATTTTTGGAATTTCTAAATTTTGCGGTTTTTCTACCTTTCGATTTCTCTATTTTTGGATTTTTAAGTTTTTTGTTTTTTTGATTTTACGATTTCTCCATTTTTCCACTTTTTCATTTCTCAATTTTTCAGTTTTTTCAATTTTTCATGTTTTCAGTTTTCCGATTTTTTAGGTTTTTGATTTTTCACTTTTTTAAATTTTCGTTTTTTCAATTTTGACTTGACAATTCTCGACTTCGATTTCTTGCTTTTTTAATTCTGAAATTTTTTATTTTTCAATTTTAGGCATTTCTAAATTTTTGATTTTTTGATTTTTTGAGTTTTCAGTTTTCAGTTTTTTCGGTTTATTAATTTTGCAATATTTCGGTTTTGGGATTTTTATTATTTCCAATCTTCAGTTTCCGATATTTTGTTGCGATTTGTCGGTTTTTACTTTTTCAGTTTCGATTTACTAATTTTAGATTTTTCGATGTTTCAATTTTTCGATTTTCTGATGTTTCGATTTTTGGATTTTCAATTTTTTGATGTTTTACTTTTTGATTTTTAAATTTTAGATTTTTAGATTTCTCAATTTTTCAATTCTGCGATTTTTCTTTTTTCAATTTTTGTCATTTTTTAGGTTTTTCAATTTCTTTTTAAATCCATTTTTCGATTATTTAGTTTTTTGATTTCTCGATCTTTCAACTTCTGTATTTTCGTATTTTTTAATTTTACCATTTCTCGTTTTTTTGGTTTTTCAATTCTTGAATTTGATTTTTCAATTTTTTGTTTTTTCAATACTGCGAATTTTCTGTTTTTCAATTTTTGGTATTTCTAAATTTTCGATTTCTCCATTTTTCAACTTCTCCATTTTTCGATTAATCAGTTTTTAAGTTTTTTGATTGTTAAGGTTTTTGATTTTTCATTTTTTTAAATTTTCAGTCTTTCAATTTTGACTTGACGATTTTTGGACTTCGATTTCTGGATTTTTAGTTTTTCGATTTAACGATTTTTCGATATTTCAGTTTTAGGATTTTTCAATATTGTGACTCTTCAGATGTCGAAATTTCGTTTCGATGCTTCAATTTTTCGATTTTAAATACATATATCGAATTCTCGATTTTTCGAATTTTCTACTTTTCAGTTTTTGTCATTTCTAAATGTTTTTCGATTTCTTAATTAATCGAATTTTCGATTTTTCGATTTCTCGACTTTTCAGTTTTACAATTTTTCAATTTTTTAATTTGATTTTTGATTTTTTAATCTTTTAAATTTGCAGTTTTTAATTTTGTGACTTTTGGATTTTTCAGTTTTTCGATTTATCAATTTTTCTATATTTCCGTTTTGGGATTTTTAAATATTTCGACTCTTCAGTTTTCGATATTTCGGTTCGATTTTCCGGTTTTTACTTTTCCAATTTTTTAATTTTTTGTAAAGTTAGATTTTCGATGTTTCAATTTTTCAATTTTTTGATGTTTCGATTTCTGGATCTTCAATTTTTTGATATTTTACTTTTTGATTTTTAAATTTGAGATTTTTAGATTTCTCAATTTTTCAATTCTTTGATTTTTCAATTTTCCAGTTTTTGTCTTTTTTTAAGTTTTACAATTTCTTTTTTAATCCATTGTTCGATGATTCAGTTTTTTGATTTCTCGATTTTTCAACTTTGTATTTTTGTTTTTTTTGAGTTTTACCATTTCTCGTTTATTTTTTTGGTTTTTCAATTCCTGAATTAGGTTTTTCAATTTTTTGTTTTTTCAATACTTCGAATTTTCTGTTTTTCAATTTTTGACTCCATTTCTCGATCTTTCAGTTTTTCAATTCCTCAGTTTTTAAGTTTTTTGATTGTTCTGGTTTTTGATTTTTAATTTTTTTAAATTTTCACTTTTTCAGTTTTGACTTGACGATTTTTCGACTTCGATTTCTGGATTTTTTAGTTTTTCAATTTAACGATTTTTCGATATTTTCGGTTTTTACTTTTTCAATTTTTCGATTTTTTAAATTTCAGATTTTTCGATGCTTCAATTTTTCGATTAATATATGTCGAATTCTCGATTTTTCGATTTTTTTATTTTTCAGTTTTTGTCATTTCTAAATGTTTTTCGATTTCTTAATTAATCGAATTTTCAATTTTTCGATTTCTCGATTTTTCAGTTTTCCAATTTTTCAATTTTTTAATTTTTTGATTAGAGTTTTGATTTTTTAATTTCTTAAATTTGATATTGCGACTTTTCGATTTCTCGATTTTTCAATATTTCGACTCTTCGGTTTTCGATATTTCGGTTCGATTTTTCGGTTTTTTGATGTATCGATTTCTGTATTTTCAATTTTCCGATATTTCAATTTCAGGATTTTTCAATATTTCGATTTTTCCATGTCTGAATTTTTCGCTTAGATTTTTTCCGAGCGTAAGCTAAGGAAGTATTGTAATCGAGTCCACACTTTTATGTTTCTGGACCTTTCATGATCCCTAGAGTACGTAGAAATGGGTCTCCTGTTTCCGTCTGCCTGCCGTCTACCCGGATCTTTATTAGATAGATAATCTTCGAAACTACTGGACCGATTGTTGTCAAATTTTGTATATATGTTAAGACTTAGAACGCCAACCAAAAATTACCTAATCATCCCCACCAACAATTTGATAACGTCATCTCCAATATTAACAACAGTAAATTGTTGAGTTGAGTTTTCACCCAAAACATCCAGATTTAAAAAAAAAAATCCAAATTGTATAACATTGCTAAACCGAATGCTCTGAAACCTTTCAAAAAAAGTGTAAGATTCATCCATCAACTTCTTCAGGAATCGGAGTTTTGATAACCGCCGCGGAACGAACGCCAGTGGTCTCAGAGGTATAATCAGAGGTACACACTTCGCTGTGACCTGAACTTCAAAATTTATATTAAATTATCTGATTAAGCCCCTCTATTCATAATTCGTCTCGAGGCAATGAAAACGTCATACATTAAACGCTCCTTTTGTTTAAAAGGTGATAACATTTTAACCACACCGCCTTAATTTCGTCTCGGTTTTATCGGCCTATAATTGGGGTTGTAGCTCCTAAAATATAATTTTTCATTTCGACAACTTAATTGGGGTACGCCTCTATATTATTTAATAAAGAAAATTGTGCAGTTGTTAAACGTCCAGTAAGAAAAAAAATCGGCAGCTTTATTTATTCCGGACTTAATAAGAATTTACAATACTGAATACGAAAGTCGTTTTTTAACAGCGACGTCTTGCTGTGGAAATTTGTACACGTATTTAAATTTTCAAGTTAAAAAAATAATTTACATTATTTTATAAATGTTAAGACGTAAGAACACATTTTCTTACGAAAAACGTTTTAAGGATGCTTTAACAAAATTACGAAGTTTAATCGAGCCTGAAAAAATCACAAATTCAGCTTGTTCTTGCTTACTTACGAAAGAGGCTAATAAACATGCAAGGAATTTTAGAGAAAATTTGTACGTGAGATTACGAAACGATTCTTTTAAGAAAAAAATAGATTTATTAGCGCTGCTTGTACAAAATTGCTTGACACCCTCTCCTTGTTTCAGGTATATTTTTTTAGCCATATACACGGCTGAAATGATAATAAAGAGCATCGCTAAGGGTTTTATACTAAACAAGTACACATATCTAAGGAATCCGTGGAATTGGCTGGACTTCGTCGTCATCACCAGCGGGTACGCCACCATCGGCATGGAAGTGGGGAACCTCGCAGGGCTGCGGACGTTTCGCGTCCTGCGCGCCCTCAAGACCATCTCGATCCTCCCAGGTAAAACCCTCATAATAGAGAGCGGATTTATAAGCACAAAAAAATTAAGAATAAGCGCTTAAATAAGCACAACATTTTCAATAAAAAAGTTTTATTTTAAGCAAAAAAGCATTAAAAACATAATCATATTACAAATCAAAGAACACTTCTTAGAGCTTTGGGTAAAATATTATTACAATAATCCTAGACTTTATATTTTACACACGTATTTCAGTTTTCTTTAAAACAATTTATGATTGTAATATGTTCCAAGTTGTCCACTGTAAAATTTTTTCGCCGATCATTTAAAATGTGTTTAAAATTGGAGAATGTGCGTTCAACATCCACACTCGTGGTTGGCGCAAATTTGAATTTTGCAACTAATGTTGAATCTAACTCCAAATTTTCTACCTTCTGGCCTTGTAAAACACGAGCAACGTCGGAAAGAACACCGAAACCTGCATTTTTATTTAACACTTCGTCAAGTTTTTGAGACACTCTAGTACCAATATCACCCCTTACTGCGTTTGCTTGTTGTTCAAATTCTTTCACTAAGTTTATGGCATCTACCAACAACACGTTGGGTTTTTCTAACTTTTCTATTACCTCACATACGAATTGATAATTGCTTCTTAGAAAAGCTAGATCTTGTCGCAAATCTTTGTTTTCCAAAATATTTATGCAATCTTTAATCGATTGAGAAGAATCTTCGCTAAACTCCGTAACTACTTCCTCAAATTCTTTGATATATTTGTCATAATAAAATGTGGCCTGTAACCATGTTCCCCACCTCGTTATAATCGGCTCTGGGGGCAATGGTATGTTTGGAATTTTTTCCTTAAAATGTTGCACTCTTAGTGGGGCTTTAACAAAAATCTTTTTACCATTTGCCACTAATTTATTAACAGTAGGAAACTGCAAACGTATTCCTTCAGCCACTCTGTTTAAACCGTGGGCAATGCAAGTAAAGAGAATTAAATTGGGGTACAATATTTTTAGATTATTCCCTGCTTTCAACATATAACGAGCTGCATCCGAGATCATCAATAAAATTTTATTGGCAAAAATAGTGACTGAAGACTGTCATTTACAAATCTGGTAATCGTATTGTCATTTGTTTTATTTAACATTTTCAAACTTACTACATACCCTCGACTAAGGAAATTTTAATTTAAGATTCCAACAATTAAACTTGCCACGTATCTTACACAACTATGGGTTGTTTCATCGACAGCGAACCATAAATAATTATCTCCAATGCGATGTTTAATTTCATTGTAAACTTGCTGAAACACTGAGCCTACATAATTTTTTCGGAGAGTACTTTCAACTGGAATATGTCGATTGCAGTGTTTTTCAAGGAATTCTTGAAGAGGGCCTTTCTCCAATTTTTTTAAAGGTATATTGGACTAGATCATCATTTTACATAAATCGAAATTAAACTGAAACTGCTCATCTTTTGTGAAAGTAGATGCAACAGATTCATGTATGGTCTGCTGTTTAATTTTAGAATCTTCAAACATTTTCTTCCTTTCTACATGAAGAGTCGTTCTGACATGTTGCGTCACGTTATATTTTTTACCACTTTGAATCTAAAACAACGTACATATACAGGATTAACAAAGGCAAATAGATAAAAAAAAATAGTGGGCTAACGGTTTTCACATAAGCTCTGCAGAATATTTTGTTGTTTTCTAATTTTAATTCTGAAAAATCCCTTATCCACTCATCCGGCGTCGATTTTACTTTCGGCATTCTTTTAAAATATTAGTAATATTACCAAAAAGAACTCAACATGTAACAAGGGAGAACCACGTATAACACTGTACTACGACAGATGCGATAGACTGATGGTTGTGAAATAAACGCTTCATTTACTTAAAAGTTTCCATTAGAACAATTTTAAGGTAGGTAGTTGGGTACAATAATCCTTTTTTCTAGAAAATCTTCAACGGTCTTGTCGCAAAATGCCGAAAAAGAACATCTGGTTAAAAGCTTTAATTCATTATCAATGTAAGGATTTAAAGTCATAAAATCTATGGCGTATTTTTCGAATCCTATAATAAAATTTTATTACCCAAACGACCGAAACCTATTCACAGAAAGGGTCTTGAGTAAGTGTACTTCAGTGGTCAAGTCCAGGTAAAATGCCTACGATACGATACGGCCATTGTTTAAGTATATTATAGTTGGACAACCTAATACAAATTTTACTTAGCCTAAATAGTGAGCTTTAGGACAAGGAATCCAGGGGGCGTGGGACAAATTTTTCGTCAACGCGCATTTTCACTACAGTAAGCCAACGTATTAGGTTTATTTTACTCTAAATCAGATGGCGCCATCAAACATTAGCAAAGGCAAACACCCTTTACTCTGCTCTTATACGAGGAGTTATCCATAAATCCATAATTAACATTGTTCCGTAAACAGTAATGTGTATAAACATATATGTACAAAATATGAAAATATACTTGACATAAAAAATATGAAGCGACGCGTTGTAACGTGATAAGAAAGAATTGAATTTAAATGAATTTGACGCATATTTTTATTTGACTATATCTGAAGACTGACAGAAACTTTCCAAGGGTTTTTAAACTAGTATAATTGTTTAGTTTTACAAGATTAAAGTAAAACAAGATTTTAAGTAAAATTTAGATTCGTGGTATTACAAAAATATTAACACAAAATGAAAATATATGTTCAAAGTAAATAACAGAATGACATAAACTTTCGGCGTTAACATTACAAATAATTACAAGAGAGAAAAAAACGCATTAAGAACTTAAGAGACATGTTTGTAATATCGAGTTGTTAAAGGCTGCTTTGAAGACTGTTTGTTTCTATGAAAAACAATTGCTGTTATCGGAAATTTTGGTAGATTTTGTTCCAAAAATACGAGATAACTAATTGTTTCTTGAACTAGTTTCCGTAACTTCTAAAATTTAAAAAGGATACGCCGTTCTGCTGTAATAAAATCTAGAATAAGGTCAAAATCACACTAATATTACATCTGATTTGTTAACCACATGAATTTAATTTACATTAAAATAAGTTACAGACATTGTTTGAAATGTTTATTATAGTTCGAAAACAAGATAAAATAAATAAATAAATAAAATGTGCAGTTTATAAACTTCAGAATTTTAGTATAAAAATAATTATGTTTGAAGCTTTATTTTGTCTGTTCCATTTTATTGGGTGTATTGGGCCCCTCTCGGGATATAACACCGACATCAGTGCACCAACCCAACGTTCTTCAACCGATGGGATGATTTATTACTTCCGTTATGCTGGCCCTACACACAACGATTTGATTTTCGGATTTTCGGCTAGATCTGCACAGTTAACTCTTTGCGCACTGCACACTGATATAGAGTATTTTGTTCACGCGAGCATTAAAAATATTACGCCGAAAGCACTTCTTCAAGTGTTATTTTTTTTAAGATGTCATATTTGTCAGCGTTTCCAAAATTTTATTCTTTGCACAGGTCAACTAATTTTTCGTAAACCGCATTTTAAAATTTTTGTTATTGTATTTTTTACTTTTTAATTTTCTAAGGCATGAAAAAATCCCATATAGGTTTCTATGAATTTATTAACGAAATCAACTGATAACTTGCGCGCCATTTTGTGTTACTTAACACCAATAGTGATTATGATAATTTTATAATTATCATTTTAATAAAATTGTGTTCTTCACTTCGCGAACGACAGCAAACAATTTAAAATTACCGCGAGTCAAGCACCTGAAAATCCATCTCTCCCAAATATGTCTTTCTTGGCACGATTTGTAATCCGAAGTCTCACTCCACATGCAATTTTTCGTCGCCTGAGAACTTGTTTGATCTACAGACCAAAGCACACACAGGCCAATATCGGCTTTAAGCGATTTATCTATAAGTAAACCGATATTCGTTAGAGTTGATGTGATACACATCCACTACGAAGAACTAACCCATTTCGACCATTGGACTTTACAACGAATAAGTGAACAAAGTTCTTGAACATCTTAACGATTTAATACATAATAATGTTCCCGAATGACAAAATTTACATTTCAAACTGTATTATCAAATTACACTCTCCAAAATTTGTCACGAACAATGAAATGACGCAGTCTCCAAATTTTACAATAGTAAAATTGTAGTTTCGCCCCGTTTACGGTTTATGCATCCGTGTCGAGTTTTCACCTTAGACGTCAAGATTTTTGGAAAAAAAAAATCAACATTTTCCAATTTATAATGTTATGTATTTAAATTTTAAAAAGTAGAATAGTCCTGATCTTGTGATTTATACCTAAATACGCTATTGGGATTTTTCGGCTTGTCGATTTCTCGATTTTTCAACTTTAAATGTCTCAATTTTTCAATATTTCAATTTTGGGCTTTTCCGATTCCTCCATTCCTTAAATTTTCTATTTCTCGATTTTTTTATTTTTCGATTTCTCAATCTTACGATGTTTCAATTTTACGGTTTTTAAATATTTCGATTTTTCAATTTTTCAAATTTTCAGTTTGCCGATTTCTAAAGTATTTTTTTTATTTGTCCATTTCTGGATTTCCTAAAGTTTCGATTTTTCACATCTTCAATTCCTCAATTTTTCGATTTTTTAAGATTACGATTTTTCAATTTTGCTTTTTTAGATTTTCGATTTCTCAATTTTCCAATTTTTTAATTTCTCAATTTTTTGAATATTTCTTTCAGTTATGAAATTTTTCAATATTTCAATTTTTCGACTTTTCGATTTTTGAATTGATGGATTTTTTTTGATTTCTCGCTTTTTCCTTTTTGGATTTTCAATTTATTGTAAACTTTAGATTTTTCAATTCTGGGACTGTTTAATGCTTCGATTTCTCAATTTTTAAACTTTTCGATGTTTTAATATTTCATTTTTTAAAATTCTAGGTTTTTCGATATCTCGAGTTTTCAGTTCTTCTATATTTCAATTTTTCATTTTTCGATTTTTTGAATTTTAATTTTTGATTTTCCAGTTTTTCTTTTTTAAAATTTTTCGATTATTCAATTTTTTAATTTCTTAATTTATCGAATTCAGATGTTTCGTTGTTTTGATTGTTCAATTTCTCAATTTTTCAATTTTTAACTTTCCTTTTCGGCTTCCGACTCCTCAATTCCTCGATCCTCCGATTTTTCGATTTCTCGAAGTCTCAGTTTTTGAATTTTTCGATGTTTCGATTTTTGGATTTCTCGGTTTTTCGATTTTTTTCTTTTGAGCTTTTCAATTTCTGGATTTTCCAATTTTTCAATGCCCCGATTTTTCAATTTTTCAAATTGAATTGGATCTCTCGATTCTTCAATTTTGCGATATTTTAATTATTCATTGTTTTAAATTTTAGTTTTTTCGATTTCTCGATTTTTTGACTTTTCAGTTTTCTGATTTCTCAATTAAACTATTTTTGATTTTCCCACTTCTCAAAGTTTCGATTTTTCAGTTCTTCAATTCTTCGATTTTTCGACTTCGCTTTATTGGTTTGTCGATTTCTCAATTTTTGGATATTTCTTTCAGTTTTGATATTTTTCAATACTTTGATTCTTTCATTTTTCGACTTCTAGATTTTTCTATTTTTAATTTTTGGATTTTCAGTTTTTTGTTTTTTATTTTAGTTTCTCAATTTTTCAACTTTTTCATATTTTAATTTTTAAATTTCTAGATTTTTCAGTTTCTCGAGTTTCCAGTTCTATATTTTAATTTTTTAAATTTACGAATGTTGAAATTTTTTGAGATCTCAATTCATTGAGATTCGGATGTTTCGATGTTTTGATTATTCAATCTCGCTTTATCAATTTTTTCCATATTTAAGTTTTCGATTTTTCGATTTTGGCCTACTTCGGTTTCTTAATTTTTTGATTTTTCGACTTCTCGATTTTTCGACTCCTCGATTTTTTTTGTCTTTTGATTTTTCGATTTCTCGATGTCTCAATTTTTGAATTTTACAATGTTTCGATTTTTCGATTTGTTGGTTTTTCGATTTTTTGCTTTTCGGTTTCTTGATTTTTGGATGTTTCGATTTTTGATTTATCCGATTTTTCTATTGTCCAATTTTTAAATTCTCGACTTCTCGATTCGTTGATTTTTCAGTTTTTCGATTATTAAATTTTAGATTTTTAATTTTATTTTTATTTTTGATTTTTTGATGTTTGGATTTCTCCATTTTTCAGTTTTAGGATATTTTAACTTTTCAGTGTTTTAAATTTTAAATTTTTCGATTTTTTAGTTCTTCACTATTTTTTTGTTTTTCAAATTTTGACGTTTCTGAATTTTTAGTTTTCGGATTTCTCAATTAATCTATTTTTTTATATTCCCATTTCTCCACTTCCTAAAGTTTCGATTTTTCAGTTCTTCAGTTCTTCAATTTTTCGATTATTCAGGTTTTTGATTTTTCAATTTTTCGATTTTTTAAGTTTGCGATTTTTAGACTCTGCTTTTTTGACTTTTTTGTTTCTCAATTTTTTAATTTCCTAATTTTTTGATATTTTGAGTTTTCAGTTCTCTATATTTCAATTTTTCAATTTTCGGAATTTTTAAATTTTTGATTGTCCAATTTTTTTTTATTTTTCGATTTTCCAATTTTTCGATGTTTCTATTTTTGAATTAACCGATTGTTCAATTTCTCGGTTTTTAATTTTTAGATTTTCCAATTTTAATTTTTTTGATTTTTACTTCCCGAGCGTAAGCAAAGGAAGTATTGTAATCGAAATTTTTCGATTTTCGAATTTGAAATTTAATTTTTAATCTGCTAACCAGAATGCTTTGAAATGTTGCAGATGTTTTAAGGCTATAAAGAGCGTCATAAATCTTTAGTCAAAAAATATTTGCTTATCCCCTCCAAAAATTTGATGACGTCAGCTCAAAAGTTTGTGGAATAAATCATATCTAAAATGTACAAAATATGATGAGTCTGTACTTGTGATCTATCACTCCATTCATATTTTTTGGATTTGCATATACAGAGTGACTCAAAAAAATTAATGAATGCGTAAATATATTTTATTGATTTAATCAGGAACTACAAAACCGAATGCTCTGACATCTTGCAGATGTTTTAAGGTTATAAAGAGCATAATAAATGTTTAGTCAAAATATATTTGCTTATCCCCTCCAAAAACTTGATGACGTCAGCTCGAAAATTTGCCGAATAAATCATATCTAAAATGTACAAAATATGATCAGTCTGTACTTGTGATCTATCACTCCATTCATATTTTTTGGATTTGCATATACAGGATGATTCAAGAAAATAAATGAAAGCGTAAATTTATTTTACTGATTTACTCAGGAACTACAAAACCGAATGCTTCGAAATCTTGAAGATATTTTAAAATTATCATAAGCATGGTAAATTTTTGATCAAAACGTTTTTGGTCGTCCCCCCTAAAAAATTTATGATGTCACCACAAAATTTTGCTGAATAAATCCTATCTAAAATGTACAAAATATGGTGAGTCTCTTCTTGTGATTTATCATTCCATTCAAATTTTTTCGATTTGCATATACAGGGTGACTCAAAAAAATTAATGAATGCGTAAATTTATTTTATTGATTTAATCAGGAACTACAAAACCGAATGCTTTGAAATCTTGCAGATGTTTTAAGGTTATAAAGAGCATAATAAATTTTTAGTCAAAATATATTTGGTTATCTTCTACAAAAAACTGATGACGTCAGCTCAAAAGTTTGCCGAATAAATCGTATCTAAAATGTACAAAATATGATGAGTCTGTACTTGTGATTTATCATTCCATTCATATTTTTGGATTTGCATATGCAGGGTGACTCAAAAAAATTAATGAAGGCGTGAATTTATTTTATCGATTTAATCAGGAATTACAAAACCGAATGCTTTGAAATCTTGGGAATATTTTAAAGTTATTATAAGCATGGTAAACTTTTGTTCAAAATGTATTTGTTCATCCCTCCTAAAAAAAATGATGACGTCACCCTTAAATTTTGCTGAATAAATCCTATCTAAAATGCAAAAAATATGAAGAGTTTGTACTTGTGATTTATCATTCCATTCATATTTTTTAGATTTTCTTAAGAGGTGGTTCAAAAAAATTAATGAAGTCAATTTATTTTATTGATTAAATTAAAGGCAACACTTATTATTAGTATTACACCCCAACCAACCCAATTTGGTAGACACAAAATTTGTTAAAGGAAAAACTCGGTTGAAACATAAGGGTAGCACGCTTATTTACATCGACTTTAACATTACAGACCTGCATTTGTTTTATGCGCTCACTTGGTTCCGCGAATGTGAAATAGACATGTTTATAATCAACCAATTGTGAATTTCACCGTCAAGAATTAAAATAAAACCCAATGTTTTATATAATAAGCGGAAGTCGAAGCAATAAAACCGATGGTCGTTTTGTTTACAGTTTCTCTGTTTGACTCTCACGTATGGTGTTACGCCTGTCATCTTAAATTAAGAATACATACACGATTTTCAGTTGCCTCTGATACGTATACGTGAGTAAATTGTTTCGTTATTTTATTGATTATTACAAATCAATATTCAAAACGACCCAATTCATTTTCCCGAAAATTTGGGAATACAATAATTTTATTCTTAGTATTACACTACATCTATCCCAACTGATATACGTGTCCTTGCAAAAATGTTGATGACGTCATCACATTTTTTTTTAAATTCCCACTACAAAAATGTAATGAGAAAAAAAAACACAATAGGCATGCAGTCGTCAAGTTTCCGACAGCGAGGGAAGTACTGTCTAAACTCTTTAGACCAATTTTTTTATGTTTCGATTTCTCGATTTTACAATTTTCCCATATTTGAATTTTTCAGTGTTTTAAATTTTCGATTTCGAGGATTTACTGTGTTACAGTAGTCATCAGTCATATAAAAAAGTTTTGAAGTGCTTACATTTTTCACAAAAAGCATTAAACCTAGAAATGCGCTCTCTACTCATTAATCATTTTGCGCAACCAACGACAAATGCTCAAAATTCCACCACAGGGAAGCTATTTTTACGTCCCGGCAACATTTCACCAATTTCTAAATTCGCACTGACATTGAGCGGTCACTTTTACGGCCCCCATAAAGGATAATTACGTGATTGGATCCTGATTTTATAGCCGTGGGGTTTTTATGTGGGCCGTAAAAATTAAGTGCGAGCTACAGGTGCAGACTAGTGGAACTTAAACAATCAAGAGAATAGTGTTTTCCGAGGCGCGATTTATGAGTCGTTTTGAGGTACGGGTTTTATGCGAGAGTGCAGTTGCAAGGCTGACGTCAGACATGCAAAAGCGCAGTGAGTGGAACGGGCGTCGAAGGAAAGTGGTGCTAAAATAGAGACGAAGGAAATGGCGTAGGATGGAAATTTCTTTTCACGTATTCATGTACAAACAACAATTTAAAACATAATTCGCACTATCACCTCCAGACCTTAAATCCACAACAATAAACAATTCTAATCCACTTCGCTCGAATCCAAACAAACCACAACAACACCACATTTGAAATTCAAAACGCATCCTTCGAACTAAACAATGCCTCGGTGTCACTTCCGCTCGCTCTGTTTTCAATAATCCGTAATTTATTTTCTCCCGGGGTTGCGAACTAATGCTCAGACGTCTCTGGCTTGGCGTTGCATCTCGACGACGTCACAACTGCATCGATAATACTTCCAGCTAGTTCTCGCCTCAAATATGCACGCTTTGATCCTGCTCCTGATAATCTCGTTGCGTGTGAGCTTAACAGTCGCCTGCCACTCGTTCAAGGACACGAATATCACAGTGGTCTCCCAGGTCGGAGAGAAGTACCACACTGTGGTGAGTGGATGTCTGGAAAGGAAGATGTTCGAGGCGACGATCGCGGAGATTTACGTGGAGAAGCAGGTGGTACCGAGGCTGGAAAGGGACGCAGTGAGGCATCTGTGGAACCTTGTGGTGTTTGGGGTTAGTGAGTGCGGGGTGGGGGTTGTGGAGGCGGGTTTGTTCAGGAACGTGCCACGGCTGCGAGAGGTACGGATCGTACGGAATGAGCTAAAAGAGGTACTGTTACATTGAAAGTAGTATCATTCTTCACCCTCACGAACCTCTTTGAGTGCGTTTTTTGTTGGCCTAAAAGATTTCAGGTGGTACTGCAGTTTTTTTCTCTCATCTGATATTATCTGTTATCACAACTCCAAGAAATATTCATTTACTTGAATGGAACTACTGTGTTCAGGCTCTTCTTCTAAAGGAGAATATTCCAGTTCTTATTAAATGGTTTTTGTTTTTTCTTCGAAGTCTTCTCGAAAATCACTTACAATTTTAGAACTTTCCGGAAAATCCTGCTTCGACTTTCACAAAATTTCACAAAGTATTCATTTGTTCAAATTTTACAATTAAGCTTCGGCCCTCGGCTTACGACGAATAAAAAAAAAATCATCAGAATTGAGACAGGGCGGGTGGGCGGGGGTTATATTTTGTTTTTTGTTTTCTTAATATACATAGCCATATTTTCAAGAAACTTAGAATATAGTTAAAATGGTACATTTTTGCAAGGAAATATGGATTTTGCAATTATGGGGTGAAGCCCAATTGAAAAATCGATATTTCAAACATGTTTTAAGTTTCATGTCGTGAAAAGAAGTCCACACATCTTAAAGTAAAAACGCAAAATGTAAGCCCACCCACCCGCCCAATCGCAATTGTGATGATTTTTTTTATTCGCCGTGAACCAAGGGGGTGGAGCTTAACTGCAAAATACTTATTTCTTTACAAGAAATTAGAAACATGTTTTTAAATATCGTGTTGTTCGAAGAATACTAGGTTAATAAAAAAAAGGCAAAATATAAACCCCGCCCACCCACACGATCTCAATTCTGATGATTTTTTTAATTGTTAAAAACTTTAAACACGTTTAAAATGGTAAATTTTTGTAATGAAATATGGATTTTGCAATTAGGCTCCGCCCCTAGGTCTGTTAACGAATGAAAACTTCATTACTATTTAGATCAGGGCAGATATGGGTGGGACTTAATTTTTGGCTTTAATTTTTTCATAGTATACTCTATATAGTGTTTTTTGAATAACACGATACTTAAAAACATGACTTACATGGTTAGTTCTTATATAGGTAAATTTCGCTCCTTTGGCTCTGCACGATTAAAAAAAAAATCATCACAATTGGGATCGGGTGGGTGGGCGGGGCTTATATTACGCTTGTTTTCTTAATATACGTTGTCGTCTTCTCACAACAAGGAACTTAAAACATGTTTAATATGGTAAATTCTTCTAAACAAATATGGATTTTGCAATTAATCTACGCCCGTCGATCTAACAACGAATGAAAAATTATCTATTTCACAGTGAACTACAGGCTCAACGTACTATTCTTTTAAAGGAGAATATTTTAGAACATTCTTGATTCTTCGTCCGCTGGTTTTCAGTTTTTATTAACTGGTTTTTGCTTTTTCTTTGAAATTTTCTCGAAAATCGCTTTCAGTTTTAGAACTTTCCTGAAAATCCTGTTTCGACTATCACAAAATTTCACAATGTATTCATTTCTTCAAATTTTACAATTAAGCTTCGCCCCTCGGCTTACGACGAATAAAAAAAAATCATCAGAATTGAGACAGGGCGGGTGGGCGGGGGTTATATTTTGCTTTTTGTTTTCTTAATATACATAGCCATCTTTTCAGGAAACTTAGAATATAGTTAAAATGGTACATTTTTGCAAGGAAATATGGATTTTGCAATTATGGGGTGAAGCCTAATTGAAAAATCGATATTTCCTTATACAAATTTTCCATTTCAAACATGTTTTAAGTTTCATGTCGTGAAAAGAAGTCCACACATCTTAAAGTAAAAACGCAAAATGTAAGCCCACCCACCCGCCCAATCGCAATTGTGACGATTTTTTTTATTCGCCGTGAACCAAGGGGGTGGAGCTTAACTGCAAAATACTTATTTCTTTACAAGAAATTAAAAACATGTTTTTAAATATCGTGTTGTTCGAAGAATACTAGGTTAATAAAAAAAAAGGCAAAATATAAACCCCGCCCACCAACCCGATCTCAATTCTGATGATTTTTTTAATTGTTAAAAACTTTAAACACGTTTAAAATGGTAAATTTTTGTAATGAAATATGGATTTTGCAATTAGGCTCCGCCCCTAGGTCTGTTAACGAAAGAAAACTTCATTACTATTTAGATCAGGGCAGTTATGGGTGGGACTTAATTTTTGGCTTTAATTTTTTCATAGTATACTCTATATAGTATTTTTTGAATAACACGATACTTAAAAACATGACTTACATGGTTAGTTCTTATAGAGGTAAATTTCGCTCCTTTGGCTCTGCACGATTAAAAAAAAATCATCACAATTGAGATCGGGTGGGTGGGCGGGGCATATATTATGCTTGGTTTCTTAATATACGTTGTCGTCTTCTCACAACAAGAAACTTAAAACATGTTTAATATGGTAAGTTCTTCTAAACAAATATGGATTTTGGAATTAAGCTATGCCCCTCGATCTAACAACGAATGAAAAATTCTCTACTTCACAGTGAACTACAGGCTCAACGTACTATTCTTTTAAAGGAGAATATTTTAGAACATTCTTGATTCTTCGTCCGCTGGTTTTCAGTTTTTATTAACTGGTTTTTGCTTTTTCTTTGAAATTTTCTCGAAAATCACTTTCAGTTTTAGAACTTTCCTGAAAATCCTGTTTCGACTATCACAAAATTTCACAATGTATTCATTTCTTCAAATTTTACAATTAAGCTTCGCCCCTCGGCTTACGACGAATAAAAAAAATCATCAGAATTGGGACAGGGTGGGTGGGCGGGGCTTATATTTTGCCTTTTTTTTTCTTAATATATATAGCCATCTTTTCAAGAAACTTAGAATATAGTTAAAATGGTACATTTTTGCAAGAAAATATGGATTTTACAATTTTGGGGCGGAGACTAATTGCAAATCGATATTTCCTTATACAAATTTTACATTTTAAGCACGTTTTAAATTTCATGTTTTGAAACTCAGTCTACACATATTAAAATAAAACGGCAAAATATAAGCCCGCCCACCCGCCCTATCTCGATTGTGATGATTTTTTTTATTAGCCGTAAACTAAGGGGGCAGAACTTAACTGCAAAATACTTATTTCTTTACAAGCAATTAAAAACATGTTTTTAAATATCGTGTTGTTCAAAGAAAACAATATTTATTAAGAAAAAAAAAGGCAAAATATAAACCCCGCCCCCCCACTCGATCTCAATTCTGATGATTTTTTTATTCTTAAAACCTAAAACATGTCGAAAATGGTACATTTTCACAACAAGGAACTTAAAACATGTTTAAAATGGTAAATTCTTCTAAACAAATATGGATCTTGCAATTAAGCCCCGCCCATCGTCCGCTGGTTTTCAGTTTTATTAACTGTTTTTTTTTTTTTAAATTTTCTCGAAAATCACTTCCAGTTTTAGAACTTTCCTGAAAATCCTGTTTTGACTATCACAAAATTTCACAATGTATTCATTTCTTCAAATTTTACAATTAAGCTTCGCCCCTCGGCTTGCGACGAATTAAAAAAAATCATCAGAATTGAGATAGGGCGGGTGGGCGGGGCTTATATTTTGACTTTTTTTCTTAATACACATAGTCTTTTTACAGCAAGAAACTTAAAACATGGTTAAAATGGTACATTTTTGCAAGAAAATATGAATTTTGCAATTATGGGGTGGAGCCAAATTGCAAAATCGATATTTCCTTAAACAAATTTTACATTTTAAGCACGTTCTAAGTTTCATGTTCTAAGAAGAAGATTACAAATATTTAAAAAAAGCAAACTGTAAGCCCGCCCACCCGCCCTATCTCAATTGTGATGATTTTTTTTATTCGCCGTGAACCAAGAGGGCGGAGCTTAAATGTAAAACACTTGTTTCTTTACAATAAATTAAAAGCATGTTTTTGAGTATCGCGTTCTTCAAGGAATACCATGTATATTAAGAAAAAAGCCAAAATATAAACCCCCCCACCCACTCGATCTGAATTCTGATGATTTTTTTATTGTTAAAAACTTTAAACACGTTTAAAATGGTAAATTTTTATAAGGAAATATGGATTTTGCAATTAAGCCCCGCCCCTAGATCTAACAACGAATGAAAAATTCTATATTTTCGGTGAACTACAGGCCCAACGTAATTTTCTTATGAAGGAGAATTTTCTAGAACATTCTTGATTCTTCGTCTGCTGGTTTTCAGTTCTTATTAACTGATTTTTGTTTTTTCTTCGAAATCTTCTCGAAGAACACTTCCACTTTTAGAACTTTCCGGAAAATCCTGTCTCGACCTTTCGCTATCAAAATTTCAGAGAGAACTCATTTCTTCAAATAAAATATTCTAAAACATATGTTCAAATTAACAATGATTCGAACTTTTTTCCGTCAGTCTTTACTATTAAAATCTTCTAAAAATTCAGAAGAACTCTTGTGCGAGTCCTTTATTTCACAATGAACTACAGGCTCAATATCACATTCTTCTGAGTGAGAATATTCTAGAACTTCCTTGATCCTTTGTAAGCTGTCTTTCAATTTTTACTGACCGTTTCAATTTTTTTTTAATCTCCTTGATAATTGCAGGGGTTCCTAGAAAATCAGATTTAGAGCGTTCACAAGAAAAATCTCCCTTTTCTTCTTTTCAAATGGAACGTTCTAGAAGCCCGCCCACCCACCCTATCTCAATTGTGATGTTTTTTTTTATTTGCCGTGAACCAAGGGGGCGGAGCTTAACTGTAAAATACTTGTTTCTTTAGAAGAAATTAAAAGCATGTTTTCGCGTATAAAGTGTTCTAAAAATCCAAAAGAACTCTTGTACCAGGCCTCTATTTCACAGAAAACTATAGGCTCAACGTAATTTTCTTCTAAAGGAGAATATTCTAGAACATTCTTGATTCTTCGTCCACTGGTTTTTGGTTCTTATTAACTGGTTTTTGTTTTTTCTTTGAAATCTTCTCGAAAATCACTTTCAGTTTTAGAACTTTCTGGAAAACCCTATTTCGAGCTTCGACTTACAAAATTTCACAGAATATTCATTTCTTCAAATAAAATATTCTAAAATCTAGAACATAGGTTCAGATTAATGATGATTCAGAATTTTTCCGTCCGTCTTCTTTTAAAACCTTCTAAAAATCCATAAAAACCCTATTCGCGTCCTTTATTTCATAGTGAACCACAAGCTTAATGTCACAATCTTCTCAGTGAGAATATTCTACAACTTCCTTGGTTCTTTGTAAGTTGTCTTTAAATTTTTATTTACTGTTTCAATTTTGTTTTGAAATGTCCTCGGTAGTTGCAGGACTTCCTAGAAAATCAGATTTGGCCCTTTTACAACCAAAATTTCCCTTTTCTTCTTTTCAAATGGAATCTTCTAGGAGGTAAATTCAGATTAACAATAACTCAGGTTTTCTTCTGAACCGTTTTCGCCTATAAAGTATTCTAAAAATTCCACAAGAACTATTGTTCAAGGCCTCTATTTCACGCTGAACTACAGGTTCAAAACAATATTCTTTTCATTGAGAAGATTCTAGTACCTACTTGATTCTTTGTCCGCTGGTTTTTGGTTCTCATTAACTGGTTTTTGTTTTTTCTTTGAAATCTTCTCGAAAATCACTTTCAGTTTTAGAACTTTTCGGAAAATCCTCTTTCAACATTTCAGTATCAAAATTTAATAGAATTTTCATTTCTTCAAATAAAATATTCTAGACCATAATTTCAAACTAATAACGATTCGGACTTTTTTTCGTCTGTCTTTACTTCTGAAATCTTCTAAAATTCCATAACAACTCTTGTTTCACTCCTTTATTTCATAATGAACTACAGGCTCGATATCACATTCTTCTCAGTGAAAATATTTTAGAATTTCCTTGATTCTCTGCAGATGTGGACCTTTCATAATCAAAATTCCCCCTGGTTTTTTCTTTCTTATTAACTGGTTTGACTTTCTAATGTTCTAGAACTTCCTTGAAAATCTTGTTTCGACCTGTCACCATCTAAATCTCACAGAATTTTCATTTGTTCTAATAAAATATTCTAGAATATAGGTAGAGGTTTCACACTTTTTCTGATTGATAACCTCTTCAACACTAACGAATACACCAGAAGAACATTCATTTACAACAAATATTTCGTGTAATTTGCAATTCCAGTCGCAGCCTTGGGGTCTTTCTCATTTTTTAATATAATTGTTCTAGAACTTCATTGAAAAGCGCTCATTTTAATTTTTATACGTTTGTGACCACAATTTACCTTAAAACAAATAAACACCAGGTACCCAAAGGCGTCTTCTCCACCCTCGACCAACTCGAAATCGTCGACCTAACCCACAACGAAATCACAAAAATCGAACCTGAAGCCTTCGGCAACTCGACCACCCTCAAACAAGTCACCGTCGCCTACAACCACCTCCACCTCTGGTCCGCCGACTGGTTCCACAACAGCACCAACCTGCAAACCATCGACTTCCAACACAACAAAATCCAAGTCCTGCCGCGCCGCGCCTTCCACGACTTGCCACACCTCACCACCATCTCCTTCGACTACAACGAACTGGAGCTCATCCACCCCGAAGCTTTCGCCGCCATCGCCCGCCTCAAGTACCTCGGTTTACGCTACAACAGACTCAAGGCCCTCAACCCGAGGAGCTTCTCGAGAGGCCTGATCATCGACAGGATGGCGATCGATGCCAACTACCTTAATTTTCTCAAGACGGGGTTACTGGCCAGCTTGGAGGTGAAGGAGATGATCCTGAACGGGAATCCGTGGAAGTGTCCCTGTCTGGACGAGATTCACCAGTGGCTGTTCCAGAACAATGGCACAGTGACAACGCCGGATTTTTGCAAAGGGCGCGATATTCCGGTGTGTTGTTCGCCGTCTACGTATTCGCATACGTGCAGAGAGACGATCGATGACGAGCTTACGGGGTATTATCTCGGGAAATTGAAGTTGATGAGTCCGCCGGTGAACGAGCATTGTGCGAGGCTGGACAGGGTGATGTGGCAGGGGAGATAAGGGGTTTTGTGTGGGGTTAATTTTTAGCAATAAATACATTGATTTTTTTTTTAATAATATAAAGTATGACAACAAGTTTTCTTAAATTAGTCAGTCTTTTAGTTAGTCCAATCTTGCGCAATACTTCTCCAAAGGAGGGTCAATTTTCCGCAGTGCCTCCAAGTAAATCCTGACTACATCCTCCTCCACTATCTCCCGACAAGTTCTGGAGAAGGAATCAGGGAAGACGCATACGGGTACATCATCTCCCAGACACTTGTTCGACTTTGTTACAGTGGCATTCGTATCGTGCAACCAAAACAGGATTTGGGCCAAGCATGAGCACTTCCATGGGTTTCCGTCAATACCCATCTCCCTCACGGTCACAAGTACCATGATCTTCTTTGGTATGAAAGTTAGATAATTGGCACTGAGTGATAGTACCCTTATGTCAATATCGTTGGGGAAGACTCTTGAATGAATGTGTTTTAGTCGGTTGTACCGTAATCCTAGGTGATCCAAGTTCGTCATATCCTTAAAAGCCTCAGACTCTATCACCTCCAATTCGTTGTAATCAAAGTAGATCTCTCTTAGTTGAGAAAAATCACGGAACGACCGCCTCGGTAAGATTTGAACTCTCCCAGATTCTCCCAGTTTCTTAGAAGTTCCCCCAGATTCTCCTAGATTCCTTCACCTCCCTTCAGATTCTTTCCGAATCTAAGATTTCTCTCCGGATTTCCCAGTTTCTCTTAGATTCCCTCAAACCCATTCAGAATCTTTCAGATTATTTCAGATTCCTTCAAATTCCCTCAGATTCTTTCAGAATCTCTCAAATTTTTGTCGAAATTCTCGAGATTTTTCCGAATCTCCCAATTCTTGCAAATTCTCTCAGATTCCGTCAGATCCCCCCCCCACCCCCCATTCTTTCAGATTCTCTCAGATTCCCCCAAATTCTTCCCCAATCTTTCAAATTCTCTCAGATCCTCTTAGATTCCCTTCAGATTTTTTCAGATTCTTTCCGAATCTCTCAAGTTCTCTCAGATTCTCTCTCATTTTCTTAGATTCTCTTCAATTTCATTTAGACTCTCCCAGTTGCTTAGAGGTTCCCTCAGATTGTCCCAGATTTCTTCACATTCTTTCAGTTTCTTCCCGAATCTCTCAGATTTCTATAAATTCCTTCAGATGCTTTCTGAATCTCTCAGATTTTTTACTAATCTTTCAGTTTCTCCACATTTTCTCCGATTCTCGTGGATTCTTCCATTTTCCCTTAGATTCTGTTAGATTCTCTCAGATTCTCTAAGATTCTTACAGGTTCTATTAGATTTTCGCAGATTCTCTCAGATCCTCTCAGATTCTTCCAGATTTTCTTAGTTTCTCAGACGTCCCTTTAGATTTTCTCAGATTCCTTCAAATTGTTTCAAATTCCTTCAGATTCTTTCAGAATCTCTCAGAGTCTCTTGGATTCTATCGGATTTCTTTCGATTCTCTCAGATCCTCAAATGTTCTCTCAGATTCCTCCAGATTCTTTCTGAATATCTCAGATTTTTTTCCCAATTTCCCAGTCTCTCTCAGATTCCCTCATATTCCGGCAGATTCATTCAGATCATTTCAGATTCTCTCAGATTCCTTAAAATTCTTTCAGATTCTTTCCGAATCTCTCAAGTTGTCTCAGATTCTCTCACATTCTGTTGGATTCTCCCAGTTTTCCTTTGGTTTTCACAGATTCTCTCAGACCCTCTCAAATCCTTCCAGATTCTCTCAGTTTCTCAGAGGCTTCTCCAAATTTGCTCAGATTCCTTCAAATTCTTTCAAATTCCTGCAGATCCTTTCAGAGTCTCTCCGATTCTCTTGGATTCTATCCGATTCCCTCAGATTATCTCAAAATCTCAAAGGTTCCCTGAAATTCCTCCACATTCTTTCCGAATATTTCAGATTTCTTTCCAATTCCCCATTTTCTCTCAAATTCCTTCAGATGCCGGCATGTTCTTTCATATTATTTCAGATTCTTTCAGATTCTCTCTGATTCCCTCAGATTCTTTCCGAATTTCTTCTCTTAGATTGTCTCACATTCTCTTGGATTCTCCCAGATTCTCTCCGAATCTCTCAAATTTTTGGCGAGACTCTGCTAAATTCCTACAGATCCCTTAAGATTCTTTCCGAATTTTCTCAGATTCTTTTACATTCTTCCAGATTATCTCAGATTCCTTTAGATTATTTTTTAAACTCCAGTTTCTCCCAGATTCTTTCAAATTCTCGCAAATTTGCACAGGTTCTCTCAGATTCTCTCCGATTCTTTAAAATTCCCTCAGATTCTTACCGAATCTCTCAAATTTTTGGGGAAACTCTCCTAAATTCCTACAGATCCCTTAAGATTTTTTCCGAATCTCACAAATTTTTTCCTAATCTTGCAGTTTCTCTGAATTTTTTTTCAGATTCTGTTGGATTCTTTCATATTACATTAGATTCTCTCAGATTCTCTAAAATTCTCACAGGTTCCCTCAGATTTTCTACGATTCTTTCAAATCCTTTCAGATTTTCGCAGGTTTCTTCGAAATCCCTCAGATTCTTTCCAAATATCTCAGATTCTCTAACACTCTTTCTTAAATTTTGTCAGATTCCCTTAAAATTTCTAAAATAATCTTAGATTCTCTTTGGTTCTCTCAGATTCCTTCAGATTCCCTCAGATTATTTCCACATCTCCTGCTTGTCCCAGATTCCCTCAAATTCTCTCAGATTCTTTCAGATTTCCTCAGATTCCCTCAAATTTTTCTAATCCTTTTCAGGTTCTCTCAAATTTCTTCAGATTTTTTTCAGATTCTTTCCGGGTCTTTGAGATTCTCTCAGATTGCTTAAAATTTTTTCCGAATCTCTAAGATTTTTCCGAATCTCCCAGTTTTTCTCAGATTCTCTTGAATTCTCTCAGATGCCCTTTTCTCGGATTACCTCAGAATCACTTAAATTCTCTCAGATTCTCACAGGTTTCCTCATATTCTATCAGATTCCTTCAGACTCCCTCAGATTCTTTCCAAATTTCTCATATTCTCTCAGATTCCTTCAGTTCGCCCAGATTCTTTCCGAATCTCTCAGATTCTCTAGGGTTTTGTCAGATTCTCTTAAATTCTCTGAGATTATCTCAGATTCTTTAAGATTGTCTTAAATTCTCTCAGGTTCCCTCACATTTTCTCAGATTCTTTCACATTCTTCCAGATTATCTCAGATTCCTTTAGATACCCTCAGATTATTTTTTAAATTCCCAGTTTCTCCAAGATTCTCTCAGATTCCTTCAGTTCCCTGAAATTCTATTGGATTATCTCATATTCATTGAAATTATCGTAAATTCTCTCAGATTCCCGTAGGTTCTGTCACACTTTGTCAGATTCTTTCAGATTCTCTCAGATTCCTTAAGATTTTTTCGGAATCTCTTGGATTTGTCCGAATCTCCCAGTTTTTCTTAGATTCTCTTGAATTCTCTCAGATGCCCTTTTCTCAGATTACCTTAGAATCACTTAAATTCTCTCTGATTCTCACAGGATTCCTCATTTTCTATCAGATTCCTTCAGACCCCTCAGATTCTTTCCAAATTTCTCATATTCTCTCAGATTCCTTCAGTTCGCTCAGATTCTTTCCGAATTTCTCAGATTCTCTAGGGTTTTGTCAGATTCTCTTAAATTCTCTGAGATTATCTCAGATTCTTTAAGATTGTCTTAAATTCTCCCAGGTGCCCTCACATTTCCTCAGATTCTTTCACATTCCTGCAGATTATCTCAGATTCCTTTAGATTCCCTCAGATTACTTTTTAAATTCCCAGTTTCTCCAAGATTCTCTCAAATTCTCTCAAATTCGCACAGGTTCTCTCAGATTCTCTCGGATTCCCTCAGATTCTTTCTGAAACTCTCAGATTCTCTCAGATTCCTTCAGTTCCCTGAAATTCTGTTGGATTATCTCATATTCATTGAAATTATCGTAAATTCTCTCAGATTCCCGTAGGTTCTCTCACACTTTCTCAGATTCTTTCAGATTCTCTCAGATTCCTTAAGATGTTTTCCGAATCTCTTAGATTTTTCCGAATCTCCCAGTTTTTCTCAGATTCTCTTGAATTCTCTCAGATTATCTTAGAATCACTTAAATTCTCTCAGATTCTCACAGGATTCCTCATATTCTATCAGATTCCTTCAGACTCCCTCAGATTCTTTCCAAATTTCTCATATTCTCTCAGATTCCTTCAGTTCGCTCAGATTCTTTCCGAATCTGTCAGATTCTCTAAGGTTTTGTCAGATTCTCTTAAATTCTCTGAGATTATCTCAGATTCTTTAAGATTGTCTTAAATTCTCTCAGGTTCCCTCACATTTTCTCAGATTCTTTCACATTCTTCCAGATTATCTCAGATTCCTTTAGATACCCTCAGATTACTTTTTAAATTCCCAGTTTCTCCAAGATTCTCTCAAATTCTCTCAAATTCGCACAGGTTCTCTCAGATTCTCTCAGATTCCCTCAGATTCTTTCTAAATCTCTCAGATTCTCTCAGATTTCTTCAGTTCCCTGAAATTCTGTTGGATTGTCTCATATTCATTGAAATTATCGTAAATTCTCTCAGATTCGCGTAGGTTCTCTCACGCTTTCTCAGATTCTTTCAGATTCTCTCAGATTCCTTAAGATTTTTCCCGAATCTCTTAGATTTTTCCGAATCTCCCAGTTTTTCTCAGATTCTCTTGAATTCTCTCAGATGCCCTTTTCTCAGATTACCTTAGAATCACTTAAATTCTCTCAGATTCTCACAGGATTCCTCATATTCTATCAGATTCTTTCCAAATTTCTCATATTCTCTCAGATTCCTTCAGTTCGCTCAGATTCTTTCCGAATTTCTCAGATTCTCTAGGGTTTTGTCAGATTCTCTTAAATTCTCTGAGATTATCTCAGATTCTTTAAGATTGTCTTAAATTCTCTCAGGTTCCCTCACATTTTCTCAGGTTCTTTCACATTCTTCCAGATTATCTCAGGTTCCTTTAGATTCCCTCAGATTA